CATCTCCTACCTTTCATTCATTTGGATTCCTGAAAATAAATGTTCTACTTTTGATCCATTCCCTTTTGAATTTCCAATGTCCAATCTTGAAAACTTAAACTTAAGAAATTTTGGAGGCAAAACCTCTGATATGAATATATAGTATTCTTAAGCGACTTTGCTTATTTAAGATATAATTAACTATAGGGGCTTGCCTCTACAGGAAACTTTAGAACCCAGCTTAATATAAACCTTATTTAGTTATCTATATTAAAGAGGGGAATTTATCGGTAAACATGAACAGTTTTGCAGACCAGAATAGATGTCATAGATTCTATAATTTATTTAATCGAACCTCACTATTAAATAATATATTCATTCCTTGGAATAGATTATATTTTCAAAAACACCAACACCATGTTTGGCGGTCGACACTCATGATTCGTGACCTCCTCTACTTTCTTCCCTTTGGATTCTAAAATGATTGTTCCTATTTGGTCCATTCCCACTTGACTTTCCACATCCGACCTTGAAGCCTTAAACTTTGAAATTCTTGAAGACAAATACCTCTGATCTAACTCTAGAGTCTTCTCAGGGGATTTCGGTCATTTGAGATGTAATTAACTATAGGGGCTTGCCTCTATAGAGAGCTTTAGAACCTAAGTAATATAAACCCTATCTAATCTTTTATATTAGATAGGAGAACTTGTCGGTCAACATAAAAAGATTTTACAAACCAAAAGAATGTCATAAGTTTATTCGTTTATTTAATTGAATCTCACTATCAAGTAATATGTCTATTCTTCGGGATATGTGTGTTTCTTGTGGTGTTGTGCTCGTTTATTTAAACTAATAAATGAATGAGATCTTGTTAGTCTCATTTTTCAAAATTAAAATATTCTTTTTTAAAAATCAAAATTATATACACTAAATTAAATCCATAGCAAATTTTCAGGAAAGAGAATTTAGCGACCGACAGAGGCATATATGAAGGCAATTAGGGAATTTGAGTACCTTTCTCGCCTCATGTTAATAAGGGTGGTATAGAACTTCAACCTTTTTCTTTGCATGAGAACCCACACTTAAGGAATTTTGCAAAACTTCAAAATTGATCTCTATAAAATAAGTGATTCCCCCAAGTATATTGGCTGCTCAGTCATGCCCCTTGACAACTCAGAGCTGAGTAGAATCATCGAAGAAGCAGTTGTCTTGTAGTGGAGCTACCCCTCCGAGCGACAAAAATGACCTGTCTGGCACTGAAATCTGCTTAGAGGCAGCACAAATACTTTGGAGCCATTCAAAGAAAAGGAAGGAGAAGCAGAGAAATAGAGAGAAGGAAGCAAAAGAGAAGTCAGAGAGCATAACACTAAAATCCAACCACCCTCAATACTGATATATATGGTGCCAATGAGAGCAGAACCGTCATGAAAATTGTACATGATTTTGAAAAAGCCCAACACATCAACACATTATTTTAATAGGAATTATTATAGAAATTAAATTTCATTTCATAAAGTAATAAAAGTTATAATTATTTCCAAGAAAATATTTTACAAGTGGCTTGTTTCCTGCTTCAGCCGAGACTTTTCTTCACCGAAGCAACTTCTTATACAACACTTCATTGTTGAATTTAAACCTATATACAAGGTCGACTTTGGCCTGGATCTAGAGCACTAAGCAAGTCTCCTGGCCACCAGTTCCTGCTACAATTTTTTTATCTCTTCCTCTCTCTGCATCCCAATGATCCAACCATAGAAGTCCTCTATCCTCTCTCGGAAACGAGCCGGTGACCCAAAAGCCATCTTTTGCCCGTTAGTCACCTCTCTATGGGTCGCAAGGGGCTGGCAGGGTGGTTGACCACATTCTTTTTAATCTTGGCTGCTGCTAGAGTTTCCTCAACCATTCCTGATGTCAGATCCTATCTATCATCAACCAAATGTGAGTCAACGATCTGGATCACCTCTTCTGCATCAAAGAAACAAGTGTTAGCAAAGATGGAGAAAATTTTCCTAATTACAAAGATCAAGTTTCCTCATACCAAGGAGGCAATCCATCTCAGTCCACTGAAGCGACAAAGTACTCTCACCTTGGGGTGGTAGAGTGGTCACTGTCCTTTGTCGGTCAACTGATGAGTTAGCATCAACAACTTCTTGTGCCCCGGGTAAAGGTTCTTCAACAGCTTCCCACGCAGGAGGATCGATTGGCTGGTCACATATCACAACAAGAACTTGAGTCAACTGGCTTGAAGATTTGCTGGAAGCTGGAGCGCCTAGCCTATCTCCATCTTCGGTCCAATTCTTCTCACACTGAAGGCCTTGGAAGTGAGTATGAAGACCCCATTTCATATGTCAAATCAATCACCTTTAGCTTCTTGGAAGCTAGCTTCTTCTTCTAAACATCGCCCTCAAGTTTCTTCTTGCCATCAGCCCCCTTCTTTCCTTCAGGCCTCCTCTCCCCATCCAGATTTTTCTTTTGCCTCAGGTCAAATTTGCGATGTAGACAATCCAAACACTCTCCTCATCATTCCAATGTTAGGGGCACCATCTGAAGGTTTCAGGGCACTTGCTATGGAGACGCTTTAAGGATCGATCGACTCAGACACACAGATGCAAAAGCAAATGTGATAACAATGGCTTCAATCACGCCGTATTTATAAGAGCCATGGGCACAAATCCTAGGAGTATAATTATAAAAGCTCAGGTTATGATACAAATGAATCTACTTTTGAATTTCATTTTTTTATTCTTATCACAATTATCGCTTTCAATAATTAAGAGAATCAGAGAACTAAAATATTTACATCAAAAACACTTTTGCACGAATCTCAATGAGATTGAACAAACAAAAGGACAAAGGAGGACCCACAGGAGAAAGAGTAAGGGTCCATAAGTGGAAGATCAAGGACCCACAGACAGAAGATCAAGAGCCCATAGCAAAAGATCAAAGGTCTACTATAGGAAGGGTCAACTACCAGAAGACTAAGGGTTCCTAGCGGACTACCAAAAGACCTACCTTACTATGTGCAATCCACCTAAACCAAGGCTAAAGGTGAATGAATGTAGGCCATCAGAATTAAATACCAAGGCCAATCAAGCCGAGTAGAGGCACTAAATAACCTCTCGCCCTTACTTAACTCAAGGAAAGAGCTCAACACAGTAAGCAATTTTACGAGCACGCTTGAGATTCCTCACCAGGGTCCATAAACTGGCCATTACAAAATCACATGGAGTACCCTAAAGGATCTTCTGGTTAAGGAGCGAGCTGCTTATCGAATTGCGATGATTCACCCTTTGTCTGATAGTCCAGCCTTGCTTGTTGGCAGGAGTTACGCGCCTCAAGATCAATAGTCTGCAATCTGACTTGCATAGGTGACCGACAAAGCCAAATTGAATGAGTCAAGTCTTGCTAACCTGAAGACCACCATAGTCTTGTCGAACCATGACTAACCGATTTCAACCAACCGAGTCACAGCTTAGTCCAACTGAAAACCTATACATGTAAACTACCTAAAGTTTCTTATAACACATCCATTAAGGTAGATGCAATCATGTAACTTCATATATTATACCTCATCGATAAATAAGGGATCATCTCATGAGAAAAGACTAATCAAGAATTTATAATACTGTTCATTATTATGCGCTCCCATTTATGTCTCTCTCTTCTCCCGTGTCATATACTATTCTTTGGGTGTAATTCACAAACAAATCATGATTCAACCTGTGATTTTATTTTTCAAATTTTATCTTGAATATTATTACCTATACATGCATAAAATTTATATAAACAAGATTAGGTCATAGAATTATGTCTGCGATCATTATCATATTTAATACAAATTTAAATTCACGTGATGATCATAAACTTTGACAAACATCGACAATGCATATAAATACAGGCTTAAATCACTTAGATTCTGCTTGTCATGTTTTAAATCTTTCAATTGTCGTGACATTTAATGATATATCCATAATTTTGAAGTTATTAACAATTTCGCATCTACCACAATTTTCCCATTTTTCTAACGGATTTAAATATGTCTTTTCTAGGGGTGTAAACGAGCTCATGTTCGACTCGTGTATATTTCGAGCTCAAAGAGTGTGTTTGGCTCGGCTCATTTGCTTAACGAACCGAACACGAGCCGTTCATGAACAAAAAGTCGTTTTGACAACCATAATCACGTAGTCATAAGATGTTAAGGATAATGATAAGATTTAAAATATCATTTGAATCTAATTTAATAATTTATATTCTATTTTCTTCATCAATACTTTTAATTGATTATAAATTTGTAGCCTTGTAGTCAATTAAATTTTTCAAAAATACTACTCAATAAAAATATATATATATATATATAGTTGATTAGCAGTATTTCGAGCCAAAACGAGCGGAACACAAACGAACAAATTTTTGTTCGTGTTTTATATATATATATATTAGTAGTATTTCGAGTCAAAACGAGCTGAACACGAACGAACAAATATTAATTCTTATTATTCGTATTCAGCTCGTTAACTTAGAGAAACGAGCCAAACATGACAAATTATGAACCGCCCCAATCTTTTCAAATATTCTCTCCAGCTAATTTAAAAGTCAAACTTTATGAAGGAATTTTTTCTTTTGTAATTATTTGCATTTATTAATATTCGTGCCATGTCCTCGAGTCAAACCATCTTATCAGGCACAACTGTATTGTTTGGTCAACACCCCTTTCCACCCTACCACGAATATAACGTTTCGCGGCAGAGTTTGTTGGAAAATTGAAGTAATTTCAATCCAACTAATCACGTCGTCTCACCAACCGGGAGAGTAGTTTTGACAATGGCTATGATCCAACGGTCATCATTTAATGACGTTTGGCAGACTCCGTGCAACAAATTAAATTTAAAAAAAGTTTTCGCACCGACACGCAGGATTTAAAGTTGATTGATCGAACGGCGGATGTTCGTTGAAGGAGACTGGATATTTCCGGTTAAGTGCCGGCGGCTACCGGGAGGACCGGTTGACTCCTCCCGGTTTAGAAACAAAATAGGGCGGAGGGAGAAGGCGAGGGGAGATCTCGTGTTCAGCACACGATCCTTCTGAATTTTGTTGCTTCGGCCAGATTCTTCGGTTGGAGAGGTATTACTCTTCTCGATTTCAATTTTTTGTATATCTTGTTCTGGCTTTTTTTTTTTTTGGGAGAAGAAATTGATTGTTTATGAGGGGAACACTTTTGGTTGATTTCGTTCGTTTGTTTTGGATATGATTCTGTCATATTCTTCTTCGTGTTCGATGATTTTTGGGTTTTTTTTTTGGTGTATGGGTTTGGTTGTTCAGGGGAACGCAGTTGTCTGATTTAGTAGAGATTTTTGGCGAAAATTGGATTATTGTTCTAGGGTTTCTTTGGAATTGGGTGTAGTCTGACTTGTTGTGAATCGTCGTTTGTTGTAATCGTGCTTGCTTAAGAGATTATTTTTTTTACTTTTTTTGAATTTTATTGTATTTTTGTCTTTTGCTTCGTATGAGTGCGTATAGTTGCCTACGCAGTGGAGATCATTTGTTTGTCTTGTTTTTTATGATATTAGTTCTTAGTCCCATCGCTGTTTTGGTGGAGGATTAGCTTCGAGGGGGCTTTTTGAGTTGTTTCATATAGATCGGTTGAAAAGTGAAGCTTACTGCTTCTGCTTGTTATTATGTACTCTAACTTTCGATTATTCAATTTGTAATTACAAATTAATTGAAAGGAATGTGGATAGTAGAGCAGCATAATTATGCATTGTCTTCAGAAGAATATTGTACTATATCTTGAATTGTTAGTGTGAATTTCTGGATCAGATAGCAATGATATATTCTTGCTCCATTTTCTTGTTGAGAGCTGTTTTTCGAACATCTCATTAGAACCGGAGTTGACGGCATGTTGTGCTAGAGCTGTCCTACTCATGTAGTCTTCAGAACAATAATTTATTAACCGGAATTGTTAATATGCATATTTTATGCCAAGAACAAATTTTTGATTTATGGCTATATTTCCTTTTTGAGATTTGTTAGATGCATTTGCACTTTTTTTTTTCTTAATTGAATTGAATGAAATTTAAATGCTAGAGCTACATGATTCATCCCTTCCTTTTGACAGTAATATGTTATTTTGTGTCAAAAGGGTACAAATAGGTGAAGAGTGGGAGAGGGTGGAGGGAGTGTGGGGGTTGGGGGTGATGAATCATTATAATTTTGAGGTGTTGATGTTTAATTGTTTGCGCTGATGCTTCTGTTCATAAAGGCATACGCTTGCTTAAAGGCTGATAATTTTTCTTTATGCTCACGCTTTCATATTTGAAAGTAGCTAGATTTATTGATTTGGTTTAGACGTGCTTCCTTGGATATTATTATCTGCTGTATCATTGAGTTTAGCTGCCTTTTTTATCTGAACTGATTTGGTTAATTATTTTATAATTGAAGCATTGCTGTGGGATATGATTATCCGTAAAACATGATGCCTTTATTCTACAGATTCGTTTCTGTGTGTGTGCATTGCTACAAGATATGATCATGTGTAAAACATGGCCTTTATTCCACAGATGTGAGGATTAGTATAAGGTTGGTTAAGATTAACACATAAATAATTTAAGCATTTCTGTTAGGGTTTGATTAAAACTCCATGTTAACATGGCATTGTTTTAACTTAACCCAAGTCTCACTTAATCTCACTATATTTTTGAAATTATTTTAGGTGCCAACTCAAATGAAACCCTAGGATAACTCCAAATCGAGCAATCGCTTATTGCATATCAATGAAGTTGTTATAAAATATTTTGGGGCTTTTACATGCATACACCCTAATTCCTATGTATTTAGTTGGCTAACACTTAAACTTTACTTTTTTCATTTATACCACCCAAATCGTCCATATAAAAAAAAATGCCACTATTTTAAAAACTTAAATACACCTCATCATATATAAGTATAGTGGCATATACATAAAAATTAAAGTTTAGTTGTTAGTGAAGAAAGGTAGATAAAATTATATTCTATAATTTTTCATTAATTAAATTACAACTCTTGCATATATAGAAAGGAATTGATAGGGCAAGGTTGATTATAACTTACCAAAGAAAACATGACCTAGGAAGGAAAGTAACATTATATAGTAAGGATAAAATAAACATAAAATAGAAAACTCAGAATTCCACACTCTCTCTCAAGTTGGGTCATATAGATATTGTAAAGACCTAGCTTGGTATTCAGATTAGTGAAGTTGCTTGGAGGTAGAGATTTAGGGTTTATTTGGGATGGTGATGCAATGTTGAACCACAATTTCTTCTGTTTTACAAAACTACATTTTGCCTCCGGACCTGGCTAAGTGTGGTGGCTGCTAGAAAGCTACAATCAGTTTTTTTAAAAAAAAAATTTGTAATAACAACCGCAACTTTTTGAACAACAATTTTCTCTGGATAGCTTCACACTTATTTCTTCAATGCCAATAAATTAACTAATTCTGTAAATCATCTCTAAATATTCTTAATTCGAACTATTTATATGTTGACTCACAATGCCAATAAAGTAAGTAATATCATGTTTGGTGTGTGATTGCTCGGTAAGGATAACCTGGGAAGGCAGGGTGCGATTGATATCTCGGTTGCTGTTGGGAAGGCAGAAATAGGGAGGAACGTCTAGAAGGCTGCCTAATAACTATGGTTGAGAGAAAACCTATAGAGTGTGGTTGCTCTAGCGGAAGACAATCGAAGACTGCAGAATAAATTAAACATAAATAAGGAGCGTCTAGAAGACTGCAGAAATAGGGAGGAACGTCTAGAAGGCTGCCTGGTAACTGTGCTTGAGAGAGAACCTGCAGGGTGTGGCTGCCCTGATAACTATGGTTGAGAGAAAACCTATAGATTGTGGTTGCTCTAGCGGAAGACAATCGAAGACTGCAGAAACATGTGCAAGGAGACCCAACTTCTTTTCAAAGGTTTTGGATTTCTATTTGAGAGAGAAAATCTAACCGGGGGGGAGTAAATAATGTTCGTAGGAAGGAATAGTGCCTGTTGAGAATTTCAGGGAAGGAGAGGAGGACCTGTAGGGAGACGATCCAACAGAGGGCTTACAGGTAGTGGTGACTACAGCAATGAGAGCTAGGGTTTGTAACCAAGCTCTGTTACCATGAAGAAAGGTAGAGACCGAGGGCAAGATTAATTACAACAATTACAATTTATCAAAGAAAACGTTACTCAAGATGGAAAAATATATAGCATAATAAGGGGGGAATCAAACTAAAAAAGGAAATTCAAAATTTCACAGTTAAATATGTAAATACTTAGCAATTGAGTGGTATGCATGTAAATCTTCCAAAAATTCATTACAATAAATTGAAAAAAAAAAACTTAATGGTTTTTCTCGTAAAATGCCGCTAATGAAGGTATGTTTTATTGTTTCACTACGACATCCTTATATTCGTATTGAAGTGTATTGAAGTGAAACTCTATGATTTGATTCTTTTTCATATTAACACTGTGAAGGTGAAATTTTATTAGTACATCAAATGATACTTTAGAAGCCTTTGCTTAGATAATGTTATTTCGTGTAAACTATCTTGATCAGTCCCTATTCCACGTGCCTGTTTTTTCACCATGCTTTTAGTCAGTGTTTTTTGATCATATGTTGGTATTTTTGTCTAATTGCCTTTTTCATGCAGATTAGTTATTATTTAATCCAATGGACCCTCAAATTGGCAATTATTTATTGGAATCAACATGGGCAGCAAATTCCTTCGAACATCAGGATGTAGAGAGATGCCCATTTTTGAGAAACATTAGTGAAACTACACAATTTTCCTTCTCATCGGTCAATTTTCTCGTGCCTGTAATCTTTTTCTCTCTTTTCTTCATTAGTACAAACAATTTAGAATTTATAATGATGAGATTCTCATTTTCGCTTTGGCCACTTATTTTAATATTCAGGCTCGAGGAGCCAAAGGTCCCATCTTTGAGGATGGACCGAATTTTGAAATGGCATTCAGGCTGTTCCATGGCCATGATGGAGTTGTCCCTCTTTCTGGAAGGTCTCTTGTGTGCAACAACGTTCAAGAATCTGAATCTGAAACAGCACCTGTATTCAATCCGTTGGCAGCCAAAGCTGCTAGCATCAGCCTATCAACTTTTGGAGCTGGTGGACCTTTTGGATTTGATTTCTTTGCCAAAAAATTGAAGAACCAAAACAAGAGATCTTCTAAGCAGGATTCTTCTCAGGTAATTGGAAGAATTCATGCATTTTAAATCAAGCACATTTCATAACATTATCAGGAGCATAATATTCAAAATGCTTCTTTCTTATTTGAATCTTTTTTTTTGCTCTTGTTACTGTGTAATCTATAATAGGGTCGCATGCTCACTCATGTTTTGCTAATGTTCAGAACACCAGGTAGGGGTGTAAATTGAGTCAAGCCAACTTGTGAGTCGGCTGGAGCTCGGCTCGATAAGTGGCTTATAAATTGAGCTCGATGAGCTAACAAGCCAAGCTCAAGCTAGCTCTGACTCAACTCTTTTAAAAAACTATTAATATAAAATAAAAATATTTAAAAATAATATTTTGTGTTTTATATTAAGTGATTTCTTATTGTGTCTCTTCTAATTGTTCATACTATATCATGTTATTATAACATTGCCTTAAATTAATGTTATTTTCTCTTTTTTATAATAAACAAGCCGGCTTGTGAGTCAGCTCAAACTTGTAGACTTAAACTTAGCTTGAGCTAATCAAGCTCAAGCTTGGGAGTCTGCTCAAACTCGTAGACTTAACGTCGAGCTCGAGCTCGACCCGACTCGTTTACAATTGCAACGCCATGCCTTCTCGATGAACAAGTTTTCTAAAATGAGGGGAAACTATTTAATTATATTGACTTTCCATTCCGGTTTCTGATCCGATTAAATGCTTTGAAAGGTGCCAATGGGAGTGTTGGTATCAGATCAAAGATACGACACTGCAGCCACACGATACTAGAATCAGTTTCTATTTATGACTGCACAGTGCAATATGACTGATGTTGGTTGTTGCTTTCTCAAATGCAGCCTTCTAGATATTACAATCTTCATTAACTTGATCCCAAAATTATTTTGAACCAGTTCTATGGATTCTCATCTTTCAGCTGTTTTTATTGACGATCGTTGCATGAATTTAAGCCTTATGGTTCGGATTGTAAAATAATGATGAGGCATTTACATGCATAGCACACAATTCTTATGTATTTACATTTCTCACACCTAAACTTCACATATACACACATAGCACTCGTATTTTTAATATCAGTATGGTCTGGAGACTTATTTTGTAGTTTAGACACCTATACTAATGAGTTTTAAGGTACCATTGAGATGGACGCTATTCATTAATTGGAAATTTACATACTTAGCACACAATTCTTTTGTATTTATATATCTCACACCTAAACATTCATATTTACATATATAACACCTTGGTTTCTTAAACATATTCATGAAAATGTGTCTCACGATTTAAAATGGTGATAAAACTATTTTGATGTGATGCTCTGTGAGCCAATGCAAATTGTTCTTTTACCCATCTCCTTAGTAAGAGTGTTAGATGATCTAATCAACGCTCCTGACTCCGCACTTGTTTTTTTTCCCCAGAGGAGGCATGATTCAACTCATGAATCTAAAAGCAATGATTGGCTGGAAACTGGACAATGCCCAATAGCAAAATCTTACCGAGCTGTAAGCGGTGTTCTTCCTATAGTTGCAAAGGCTCTCCAACCTCCACCTGGTATGAAGCTTCGGTGCCCACCAGCTGTAGTTGCTGTCCGTGCAGCATTAGCCCGAACAGCTCTCATCAAGAACCTTCGTCCTCAGCCCTTACCAGCAAAGATGATTGCCATTGGGCTTTTAGGAATGGCAGCTAATGTACCCCTCGGAATCTGGAGAGAGCACACAAAAAAATTCTCCCCACAGTGGTTTGTTGCTGTTCATGCTGCCGTGCCTTTTGTTGCCATGCTGAGAAAGTCTGTTTTGATGCCTAAGACTGCAATGGCTTTCACCATTGCTGCATCAATTCTCGGACAGACTATTGGGTCCAGAGCTGAGCGTATCCGGCTGAAAATGAAAGCCGAGGCCGAAGCCATGGCAGGTCAACGTGTAGTTAGCATTGAACTGAAGAATGTGGTCTGCTCTGCGAAGACGGGACATTTTGTTGATGAAGCAGTTTGGGAGGCCCTCCCTCTTAATAAAGAAAATGCACGTTCTGCTACAGTGAGTCCAGCTGCAAGTATATGTTATTGACATTGGTGAGTTTTAATGTCTTGTGTAATTCTTTTTATGTTTACTGTATGTTGAAAGACTATTTAGTTTGTTGTGGCGGCTTTGAAAGTTTCAGAGCCCTCCCCATGCAAAGGGAGACATTTACAAATGAATAATGCTTCTGGCTTGTTATCTGTATTCGATTTAACAACTTTGAAATGCGAGTATTTTTAAGTTTATTTTTTTCTGTGCGTGAGAAGGTATTTTTTTTATATATTTTTTAATCTATTAGGAGAAAAATTTGCGTAGGTAAGACGTACACAACACTGCTTACATCAGGTAGGTTACAAGGAGGGTATTGGGGGTTATATCTGCGTTATATCCCCTATAACTTTTATGTAGTCTACCTGTAACTAGTAAGTTTTACGTTTTTGTTATCATATATTTATAAGTTATAGGAAGGTTACAAGGGATATGACGCAGATATAACCCCCAATACCCTTCCTATAACTCACCTGACGTATACAGCGCTGCGTAATGCAAATTTTTCTTAGAAGTGTCTTACATCTAATATCGTATTTAATTAAAATGAAATTTACATGGATACCATTAGGTTTCTATATATTTAGCACATGTTAAATATTTACATATGTAACAATCTAGTGTCATAATTATGTTAACTATGCATAAAATGGTGTGTTTCATTTTAAAGAAGACAGCAATAATGATATTTTTTTATTTGATGTTAAATATTTGAATGTTATATATGTAAATATTAAAATTTGGTGTTAAATAAAAATTGTGTGGTATGTTTTTAAGGCATTCCATATTTTTGTAATTATTGATATATCTCTGGATCTAATATTGTTTGTAGAAAAATGTCAAAACTCGTGTTATAAGGCATTCCATATTTTTATAATTATTGATATATCTTAAGATCTAATGTTGTTTGTAGATAAATGTTAAAACTCAATTTTATATATTAATTAAGCTTATAGTGCATAAATGTTGAGTGGTTAAATCTCAATGATTCTTTGTAAAAGTAAATTGATTTATAGAAGATTCGACCATATTCTTCTTACAAAGATAATGGATGAGGTTGAGCTACATAGGCAATTCAATGAGAGATATTTTGAGTAGAATTGCTTGAGCGATTTGAGCTAGTTTGGATTGGGGGTGATTACACTTGGCAAGTTCTAGTGAGAATTTTTAGTTGACTAATTAGTACTTTGGTCTAATAGAAATTTTCTTTGGCAAGAAGCCTTGGTGATTGGATGAAATTTCTTTGTTGAGTCCTCTATTGAGTTTAGTAGCTTATCTTTGATGTTCGAGCAACGGCTAATTAGAGGGTGATGGCCTGATAAGATCTTGCTCTAGGAGATTTAATGCTTTAAATTACTTGAAGCTTGGCAAGTTTCAAAATTGTGTTCATTTTGCTTTTTCATTCAACAACTCGTTGAACATTGTTTAAACTTGATTAACATTGGTGAATTTGGATGTACATTTATTCCCCAGTGATTAGAGCTAAATAATCTCCAAAAGTTGGGCCAAGTGGCAATTCAATAACTTGAGGTCCTATTTTGATTTCAAAACTCATATTGTTCATGGCTTTTAAATTATCTACTTATAGTAAGGATTTAGCTTCCGAGCATATTTCTAACCTCTCGAGGTTGGCATAAGAAGCAAGTCTCTTAAGTGTTCATGCCAACTTTTGATAGAAAGTGTGGGAAGTTCCTCATAGCTACTAAATTAGGGACCACACAAATTAAGAGTGATAGGAGATAGACTGCAAATGATCAAAAGTTTGTAGTGAGGTCAATCATACTTATTGTGCTCATGTCGCTAGGAAAATCGACCATATTAATGATGCTTTGTTTTTATTAATTTTGAAAAATTAGTTCCGATTTTTGAAGTCGCGTCTGCTTCTTCCTATAAGGAGTCTTTAGCTCTTAGTGAAGTGATATAGAATTATGAAGAGTTTCTCCACATAGAAGTCACCTAGAAGGTGAAGAGTGATAATTTTATTAAGTATTAATTGGTTTAAGGAGACTCTTGGCAAGGCTAAGTCCTTGAACAAGATCTAGAACTCTTGAACTTAGCATTGAGGTTGTAAAATGAAAGAATGACAACACAAATAAAATCATTCATGGGGGTAATTATAAGTTTTGAAATCTCTTTGTCTAATCGGCTAGGAGCATCTCAATGAAGAAATCACGTACAACTAACATTATAGTCACTATATCAAGTTGCTCAATTGATTCAACCAAAGCAATCACTAAGAGATTAACGAGTTGACATTAGAGGGCATCCTAATTATGATTTTTATTATAAACTTTTTGAATGTCTTAAATCACAACAAATGTTGAGTAATTCATGTGTTGTTGACCCAAAACAGGCATAACCCAATTTTGGTTGTCCTCCTTAAATTTTGATTTTGTTATTTTGACCGACCATCAATGCTATGATATGATAAATTCATGGGCTCATCTAATTTTGCATATTTTCCTTTGAAAATTATTTTGTCCATTGTCCTTTGTCTTGAAGTTTGTAATTTTATTCTTGAAACTAAGAAAACAAAATCATGAATATGTTTTAAAAATGTTTTTTTAACATAGATGTAATGATTTTGCGAGTGAAATGAAAGCATATTTCCTAAGAAATTCTTATGTTTATAAATTTAAATTTAAATTTTAGTCCTCATTATCCTATGTGTAATTTCCCTTCTCTTTGTGAAGTCAACCTTTAAAAAACTTGCTAATTTTAATGATGGTCGACAACTACTATCGGTGAAAAAATTACAAATTTAACCATTTCTATGCTAAACTATTTTATATTGTGATTGACAAATAACTTCAAGAACTAGATAATTCTCTCTCTAAAGTTCTTAGATTACTCATTTGTGTGGCTAAATTGAAGCAACTCATTCTCTAATTTCAATAAAAGAAGGCTAACTCATCTTTCATAAGTATATCCAAGTATTTTTTTCTCAAATTAAGCTTGGAGCTCTTAGTTATAAAATATTCACTTATATTATTAATATGCACACTCATAATTTTTTCCCCATATTTAAGTGCCCATTACTGATGTTACAAGACAACTTTTTAAAATTAAGAAATACTACATGTATCAATTACTAATGCCACAGTTGAGAAAACATTTTCTATAATAATGATTGCCAAACATGGATTGTATAAATAAATGAGCAATCTGACTTGGTGATTCTTACATCATACACTGTAAAAGAAATGAGTTATAACATTCAATTTTAAAATCTGTTGTGCAATATTATCAAACAATATAATATAGATTAAATATTTTATAATCTGTTCAATCATAAAAAAATGAAAAATAAGACTTCATTTTAAATTGTGGTATTCATTTTAAACTGTTCAGGAGGAACCTACTACACCCCCCATACAATTCACACAAAAAAGAAGGAAAAGATAAGGTTCCTCTCCCAGAAAACAGGAAAAAACAACCCACCCCACCTAAAAACCCATTAAAGCAAAAAGAAGAACATAATAAAAAGCACTTCAAGTAGATCAGAATAAACAAGATACTTGAGGGACAAAGGAGCATGTTTAATAATGATAGCACATATGAGATAACATTCCAGCTTCGCCGCCCAATTAGAGCTACGTTGTTTCCATCCCTTTTTGTATGAGTCCAGCAAACGCATATATCTTTGGTTAATTTCAAAGATATATGCGTTTGCTGGACTCATACAAAAAGAAACCCATGCCATCAAAAATAAGCTAAATATTGGATTGCATAAAATACTGGTTGCTCTGCAAAAATTATCGGATAATCTCTTAAACAACATTTTTATTTTTCAACTGCATCCAAAGGATCCGGTGAGACTGATTCATGAAAATTTTCATATTCAAAGACATGCCTCAGTTTATAATTCAGTCAATCAAGCGCTTAAACAAGAAGAGTTTAGGAAGCACTTATCACTACCAAGCACATGGCATCTTCAAGCAGAAATTGGCAATTGCCAGCATTTAACAAGACTCCATAGTTGATGATACTGCATTAGCTCCCAAGCCAGACATTTTTTTCAAGCTAACTAATACATGTGTACATAAAACTCTTAATGAGACATGTTACAAAATACTTACATAATCTGTACTCACAAGTCAGAGTTAATATAGAGATGTTTGAAGCCGATTAGCTTTTGCCACTGCAATATAAGCCAAGCAAATGCACATAAATAGGTAACAAGCAAGCAGGCTCGACGGAGAATTTGTATCAGGTGCTTCTCTGAATTCCACTGATTAGCAAGTGAAGATAATGCAGCTTGAAGGATCTTGATTAGTATAATGCAGCACAAAGAAGCTAGCATTCCCAGTACAATGCCTGCAACAGTAAACCCCAGCTGTGGTCCTGCTGTACTCTTCTCAGAAAGTGACCTTGTGAACCTGCAAAATGGCAATAAGGAATTTAAATTAAAACAATGAACCATGAAAAGAGAAAATTGTTTAAAAACATTCGCCTATTAACCATAGTTCGGATTTCAGGGGAAAAAACATCAGCTACAAAAAGTAACCAGCACTTCAAGAATCAGAAATTCAAATTCAGCTAGCAGTAAGAGAGTTCTTGAGGATACCCATGGCTATGAAGTTTCAAGATTACTGCCATAACATTTTGAGGGCGAGGGTGACGACTGTATTTAAGGCCTATGAAGTTGGTGATACATTAATACTTGGATTCAGCAAATAATCAGAGCTTGTTCATTTAATTGCAAAAACATGACCGCGCCTGCAACAAACACTCACGTAAAAGCATCATCTTTTTCCTAAGCATGAGGCCAAAACAAAGATTAACTAATGTCGCAACTACTCAACCACAAAACCAAATAAAGATGGAAAGGCAAACAGCCCCAAAAAGTTCGACCAAATAAAATAAAACAAAAAGGAACAAATATTTGATAGTATTAGGCATGAAGGATTTTTGATCAAATAAATTTGATTGCGGGTTGGAATGGGTAAGAAGCAGAGGAGTGGCTTTGCTTGGATGAAAGAGAGATCAGAATATTACGTTTGGAACGATTTGGACACAGCAACGATCTGTTTCATTCAACAGAGAAACCATAGTCTTAGTGCAGTTCTCGGAGAAAAGCTCATCCACTAATTAAACCCCCTTTTGGAGTACATGTTGAATTTCTTAATCCACATTTTCGGGGACAAAGCTCCTATTAATTTTGTAGACAACATTCCAGGGTTGATTTTAATGCTGCAATTGGAAGATGCATAGCAGCAGGGTAAAGTACTGAACTTGAGAGTCCCAAGTTTCGACAAAATTTCACCAAAATATATAATATTTTTTCAAAGATCAATTTTTTTCCCACATACATTATAATACACCTAAATCAAAACCTCACCAGACTCACAGGCGATTCACTGCGAAATAATTAGCTGATAGCTCATTCCTGGCCCATGAAATTACCCATAAGAAGATGAAGGAGAAGTTGGAGGAGAAAGAAGAAACTTGGGCAGTGCTCATGTGTAGAGATCAAAGGAGGAAACCTTCGACGCCGAGCAACTTCTGCAAGAAGGAATCGGCGAGTGCTTGTGTGTCGAGTCGAGACCGAAGAGGAGGAAGGGTTGTTGTCTCATCTTCGCATGCAGAGGGAGGAGGAGGCTATGGTGTTGTACTCACGATCGAGGAAAAATTTTCTATCCGGACTCTGGGCATAGCTCTACGTGCGGACTCCAATAATATGTGTCACGTGTGCTACATCGCGGAGGTTATTGGAGGGTTATTGAAGTGAAACTGCGGAGGTTATTAAGGGATTACTGGCGATTGCGGAGGTTAATGCAGAGGGATATTAAAAGTGGAACCGCGGATGTTATTGAGAAGTTATTGTGGGGTTATTGCAGGGAGTTAATAAAGTGGAACTGCGGAGGTTATTGGGGGGTTATTTGAGGGTTACTGCAGGGGTTATTAAAGTGAAACCACAGAGATTACTGGGATGATATTGGGGGTTATTGAGGGGTTATTGCAGCTTTGTTAGAGTTACTACCCCTAATAACCCCACAATAACCCTCCAATAACCTCCCAAAACCCTCCAAATAGCATCCGCAGTTTCACGCCAATAACCTCCACGGTTCCACTCAAATAACCTCTGCTAGAATATTTTTTTAGGTGGGCCCGAAGTAGCACACAATGCAGGGAGTTATTAAAGTGGAACTGCGGAGGTTATTGGGGGGTTATTCGAGGGCTACTGCAGGGGTTATTAAAGTGAAACCACAGAGATTACTGGGATGATATTGGGGGTTATTGAGGGGTTATTGCAGCTTTGTTAGAGTTACTACCCCTAATAACCCCACAATAACCCTCCAATAACCTCCCAAAACCCTCCAAATAGCATCCGCAGTTTCACGCCAATAACCTCCACGGTTCCACTCAAATAACCTCTGCTAGAATATTTTTTTAGGTGGGCCCGAAGTAGCACACAATGCGATATATTACTAGGAGTCCGCACGTAGAGCTAGGTCCGGAGTCCGAACAGAAAATTTTTCCAATGACCAAAAGCGTAGGAAGAGGAAGAACGTGCAGCTCTATTGAAAGGGGAATAAGCTCACTCGGGCGCGTGCTGGAAAAGCAACGAGCCGAGAACTTAAAATTTATACATAAATATACTACACACACATATATACATATGTATGTGTGCCGCAAGCCGTGGCCTGTAAGTCCCCTCAGGTCACAGGTTCGATCCCCGATGGTGCCGGGTTCTCGAATATTTAGGCACATGGCGCAGGCTCTCATCATAGGGTCTAACGCATGGGAAATCGATATTTGGGCCTCTGCCAAATACCAATTTCCTTTTTAATATATATATATATTTATTTATGTGTGTGTGTGTGTTTGTGTGTGTGTTAAAAGTGTGTGTATTTAAAACTAAGATTATTGGAAAGTTCTATTGAAATTGGGACTTAGCAAATAGAAATTTCAAGTTTGATGAGCATGTATCTTTGAAAATACTTCAAGTGTTCGAACTAAGCTTATTTGAACTCGAATTGAATCGCCTTCGGCGTCATTGGGTCCATCTTGTCGAGATGCTCTGTTTGACTAGAAACTTGTTGAAGTTGGGGCCCAGATTTTCTCGAGTTTGAAGACAGAATGTTTTTTGTTTGAAATTCATCAAGATTCTTGCATGAGAATAAAATTTTCTTGATGACACATCAATTAGTTATGGTTCCAATCTAGGAGGCATTTATTGAGTAGAGCAACTGCAACTGCTAAAGTTACAAAACATATTTCCAAAAATGATTAATTTATCAGAAACCATTGTTAGGTTAGATGCAATTCAGATAAATAAGTATTTCATGCTATACAAATACCTCCAAAATTATACAAAAATGAGCAAACAAGTAATAAGAATAATGTTTCAAATACTGTATCAGGCATACTACTTTAAAATATAAAATAATAATAATGCACGGATACAAAAAAAAGGTTGCTTGGATTTGGAAAATATTACACAAACTTTATGGAGAAATATTTGCGTACGTAATAAGCACGCAACTTTGCGTGCGTACTCCATTAACCCCGCAATACCCACATAATAACTTCTGAATAACATCTAAATAGAACAAGTGAAGGTTATTAGGGTTATTTATTAGGGTTATAGGTTGGTTATTAGGGTTATAGGTTATTGGAATTAATATCTCAATAACCTCCCAATAACCCCCTTATAACCATAAAGTGGAGGTTATTGTGGGGTTATTACGCACGAAGCTCTGCATGTTTATTACGTACGCAATACATTTCATAACTTTATGAGGATAATTAACATATGTTCTATGTCATTTGAATTCGTGCAAACTATTAGCATGCATAAAAATTTTATTAGAGGATAATCAAATTTAGGAAGCGAAGAGCAATGCTCCTATTATTCATTGGCATGCACATGCAACATGTATATTTATCCATATAAAATATAAATACATATTTTCAGCATACATTTCTGCATTTATAATTATTTGAAGATTTTATTCATGAAATTCCTAATGTTAGAATATTTTGTCTTCAATCTTGTCATGTTTATGCTTCCATAGGGCACACCAGGGCAAGAGTCTTCAGAATACCAAATTCATAACCAAATCAAATAATAGCTAGCAATACTTTTCCTTTTACTGTATAGTGTATACATAAAAGCATAAAACAAAGTTAAGTGTTGCTTAGATGAGAATGCTTAGGTGGATGAGTGGCTTGACAATTAGATACAAAATGCAAAATGAATATATCCATGATAAGGTTAACGTAGCTACAGTGACGGACAAGATTTGAGAGAGTCATCTTAGATGTTTTGGTCACATTGATGCAGACCATTTGATGATCATGTTAGGAGAGTAAGATGTTTTAGACTCGACTTATGTTAAAAAAGGCAGAGGTAGTCCTAAAAAGACTTGGGCATATTGCATAAAATACTGATAGATTAATCTATCAAAATTAAATGAAAATATGACACTCAATGGGACGCAATGGAGAATAAGGATTCATGTAGCCCACCCCACAGTGGGATAAAGACTTGTTGTTGTTGTACTATATAGTGTATACAGTAATGTTTGTATGCATTGCAATTTGATTGCATTAGCACATAAATTTTAACCACTTCCTAAATAAGAAAATTAGTAAGCATTCCTCTCTAGATGCCAATCATTAGCTCCTCTGTACAAACATCACAACAATTTCGCACGAGAAAATCTTTAACATATATCCTTTTTCCTTTTTCTTCTGTTGGAAGGATGATACGGACACCAAAATCAAGAGAAAAACTTAAGAACATCTCCAGCACAATAAAGGATATGCAATTACCAAAAAGTTTGATTATTCAGACATGTCTGTAGCGAAGGAAACAAACAAATGCAATATATGCATCCCCATCCAGAAAGCAAAGTCCGAAACAAGCCCTCAACATCGGAATTAATGGATACCGATTGCCATTTTTCAGCCCTATTGCTCAGTGTATTGAAATGATGGGAAAAATAAATTTGGCAAAGCCTCAAAATATGCACTGCTAGTTTCGAGTTCCAACATATTACATTACTTGTTTTACAGGCATTAGCAAGGGATAAATAAAAGATAATCTCATCAATCAGCTTACATAGTAATAGCCAATATCCTTCAAAAATTTAAGTTTACTGAATAACTGCAGCTAAAAGGAATCAATGCCAAAAGAACTCCTGAAAAAATAGACAATAAAAGGATTCAAAAGTTCAACCCGTTAATTAAAATTGAGCTATTTTTTTCTTTAATAAGGTGACACATTTGATCGCTCACCTTCTAAAAACAACTCAACCAAATTAATGGGATAAAGTTTTTACTCTTGGCAGTAGCGGTGATATTAGCCTATTTGGCACAGTGCAAGTCAGCACCAGTGGTACGGTGTGACATACCAGCAACACAATCAGAATGCATTCTTCAGCATGAGGCTGAAAACCCCAGCTGCATATATAATACATACAGCAATTGATATATATATATATATATATATATATATATATATATATAGATAGATAGATATATATATTCCTTTTTTTGTTCCTCACTGCAATCAGACTGGGTTATGTACACATTTATTTGTATCCCTATCTTAAACCATCAACATTAACTGTTCGTTCCACTTCAAATAAATACATTTATTTGCGCTGAACTTATTCTTAGTTTCATGATAATTTTTTAATTGCATCAGAAACAAGAGCTTTCATGATAAACTCACAGCACAAAGAATCTTCTAATCATCTCTTCAGTAGATGGATCTCTTGCTTTGCAATTGAAAAAGCTATCAGGATAGATATCAGCCTTCTGACTACCCAGTGTGTATGTACATTTGTAAGTTTCATTCACCTGCCAATTGATGACTTCAAGTTCTGGCTTCAAAAGATCTAAACTACCTTATATTTACCATCTTATAGTTTTGGCAAAAATAATTGAATGAACAAGTAAACAAGCATAATAGGACAACTGAATAATGCATAAAAAAATGCATATATAGTTGGCTCAGATCATCGGATGGTGCTACCAATAACAACAGTGTTCCATAACACTAGCTGTTAAGGATAGAAAAAAAAAAGACAAAAAAAAGCAATTATTTTTACATGCATGTCAATTTTAATATAGTAACTTGTGCAGACTTCTCATCAAGCATTAAAAGTTATGACACATGTACACTCCCACCACAGCTTCATCACCTAAGAAAAACTTGTGAGGCAATCCGCCCATATGTGTGAGCGGAACAACTTTTTTTAAATGATAAAACACATTCTAGCAATTAAAACCTTCATGAAATGGAATCAATTGCAACTCTTCTCAACACAAAGTACTTAGGACAATCCATATGCACTCCAAAAATATTACAATTGAAATTGGCTCAAATAAATGGAGCTAAAATCACTACAAAGTAGAAGCATGCTGTTGCCAAAACATGGCGAGAAATTTGTATGCTATGAGATAATAATGGGATGATGTTGAAGACAGTTTAGCGTGAGCATAAGTCTAAAACAAGACTAAAAATTTGTATGTTATGAGATAGTGATGAATGATGCAATTTGAAGACTAGTTTAGCACAAACATACATCTAGAGTGTTGTTAACTAAGAACATTCTTCATGTAGTTTTCTGAATCACACTGCTGCTAATGTTTGTGTTAAGAGTCATCATTTTATGAAATTTTAATACTTGTACTTTTGGTCAACATCATATCACTTGATTTGTAATGTGAACGTGAGTCAGTCTTATATTATGTCATGCATATGCTTGAGCTAGCCGGGCCAAGCACCTCATTATGACCTTATTTTGATAACTAAATAGGCCATCATTTGACATCCACCTCCCCATTTGGGCGGGCACCACATCACTATCATACCAGATATGAATGTCTCCCCTTCTATCTCTCCTAGTTAATGTCACAAGCAATTATTATAGCCGTTTGACCACCCTTCCCTAACAAAACTTACTTAGAAATGCTTGAAAACTTATAAAATGCATCACAGACCAACCAATCTACACTCTTTTCATCCTTCATGCTTGGAAGGTTCATCCATTGCCTGTCCCACATCTTGGGTTACTCTTACACTACTTTATATGTAGTACTCCCAATCCTCTAGTATGTTATCTTATGTTGTGCTTTGATGGTTGAATGAAACTATTTCTATTAAATATGTTGGTCTCTTGTGCGCTTTCCAACCTATGTGATTGACTACTTGAGTGTGAGTAACCCTTGGATAAAGATATTCCAGAAAGGAGCTAATTGGGACAAAGGATTGTTCACAGAGATTGACTAAAGTTTATCACAGATTTCTTTATCGATTGTACTAAAGATTAAACGAAGTTAGATCATTCCTAAACTTAATATTTTACATCTTACTAATATAATGAACCTTGATTGGTTAACAAAGCTCGAACTAGCATCAAGTTTCTCTCATTGTATTTGTTATCATACAAGGCTTATGATGGTGCATATTCAATATAGCTCCAGCAAATAATCCATTAAATCATCAATGTGTTCCCCATACATCTGCATTCACATTTAATTGGCATGCATCTTCACATTTAATTGGCAGATATCTTACGAATGTTTTCAATTGTCTAAATACTTGGTATCAAAGTAAATATTTTCCTTAGGAGATATAAGTTGTGTGATACATTATTGCATCATATCATAAATCATCATTGTCTTGTATTTTATAAAATTATCAACCTTCTTCTAATTCGCTTGAAGCTTCTTTGTTGTGTTCTTAACTTCTTGTTTAGTCATTGCGAAAATTTCAAACCAATTCGACTTCAACTGGTAAAAAAAAAAAACAATTCAACTTCCATTTGTCTATATTAGAATCTTCTCCATAAAGTGGTATTGTTACTTTCACTTCATCAATCATTAAAATTATGTGAAAAATCCAAATTTTAATTAAATCATTTACTCAATCAGAAAGGTTCAGTCTATTTTATTATTATTTTTTTAAAAAAAAAAAAAAAAAAAAAAAAGAAAACATTGATTATTAACTTTTTCTATCTTTGTTGTCTTTTTTCATTGACAGATCTCTATCATTCAACCATAGCTTAATCGTTTTATATCTCAATCTTATGAATAAGTAGTCAGTTTTACTTGATTTAGGAAGTAATTGAGGTTGGTGAATAAACATAATTAATAGATATGACATTTGACAAACCACAAATCCTAATCATTAAACTTAGAATTTAAATATGCTAATATACCTAACTTAATAACACGTGCATGTAGTATTCTCAAATATAAAACAAATAAGATTTAAACATTAAACTTAGAATTCAAAATATGTCATACAAATCAGGCTCCATAGTAGCATCATAATTTTCATTATCTTTGAAATAATCGTCATATGTAACTCTATCATCATCGAATTCTATGTTAACATCATCTTTAATTTCTTCTTCACTGTCTACATCTTTCATTTTACTCTCTGCATCAATTAAAACACAACTATGTCATCAACTATACTTAAATTCTTTTTAGATTTTTTTTAAAGCTCCAAACTGACTTTGCTTCTCTCTTTTTAAATGCTTGTGAAGTAGAATTTGCTCCAAATATAACAGCCCATTAGCTCCTTTCAATGTTAACATTAATATCTTCATTATCATCATCGTTAAAAGTTATTCCTTTAGTTTCAAACTCAAATCCTTCATCATTCTTAAGAGTTATCCATTCATCACCGCACATAATATTATCTACAGTCGGCATTAGCTTATTCATGCTCTCTTCTCTTCTGACTTCAGCAAAGGCTTCAAAAGTAGATGGAAGGGGCTTTGTTTTCATGATCCTCCCTCTCACCTTATTCAATTCCTGAGTTAGTCCAACTAGGAATTTAATGGTTCTCTTCTTCTTGATTATGGATTTAAATATCACGGCATCATGTGAACATTTGCACACGTCTCAAACATATTCAATTGTAGCTAATACTTTGTCAAGGAGTTGAAGCATTGGGCGACACTTAGCTCTCCTCGACGACGGTCATGAAGCTTTGTTTCTATTTCAAACAGTTCTACAATGTTCTCAGTGTTGGAATATGTTTCTCTTGCAGTCTCCCAGATATCTCTGACAGTTTTGTAGAGTAGAAAATTTTATCCTACTTCAGTGGTCATTGAGTTGATTAGCCAAGACATAACTATACGATCTCAATTCTTCCATGTGCGGTGCTGGGTTAAGTGATCTCAGGAATTGTGCCTTCTCCCGTAAGATGTTCATTTTTTCATATATCATAAATACATAAACACTAATTGGAACCATTAAAGGAAGTTATAGTCATTAAGTGTATTATTAGTGATAAAGTTAGAGAATTGGAAGTTGTCTAAATAGAATCCCTAATTTCAGATTTCTAGTTAACCTCCGAAGTAGAACTTGACTCTTCATCCCGTAAGGGTTGTTTCTAGTTGTATCTAAGGCTACTTGTTGCCACTGCTTGATGTCATTGCAGGAAGGCAATCTGGATTAGTTGGAAGAATCAATAGGTTGGTGATCTACAGAGAGGAAGGTCTCACAAGAGACAGGCCTTTAGGAAGAAGGTCCCTTGAGGCTAGTGATCTACAAAGATTGTAGCATTTGACAGCTGCGGGGAGAAGTTTCAACGGAGGTTTGCAGAAGAGTGCGCCAGAAGAGGTGGGTCTGTAGTCGAGAATTCAACTGACAAAGGAATGCAGAAGAATTATGTAGTGATAGCTTCGGATGGAGGAGGGTCTGCAGTAAAAAAATATGGTTGCAGGGAAGAGTTCTGGCAGTGGAGAGAAAAAAGAGCTGGAAAGAGGCTTGCAAAGGAAGTTTTGAATCTGGCTGAGGAGCTTCGGCTTTGGTAGAGGAATTTCGGCACTGGCAGAGGAGTTTCAGCTCACATAAAGGAGTTTCGGCAGGTTACGGCTTCTGGCAAAGGAGTTTCTGACAGAGAAGGTTTTTGGAACATTGTTAGGAGAAACTCTGTCGAGAGGAAATAGGGTGTGAATTATGACTCTGATACCATGTATAAAACTACTTTGAAGAGGAATAATTCCTTTATTCACGTGTAGGGCGTGCATGCGCAAGCACACAAACACCAAATATATCTAATCGAAAGTAAGAAATAAAATAAATCTGAAGCAAAAATAAAGAAACAAAATAAGAAGTGAATAAAACTAACAAAAGGGGTTTCCACAAAATAAGAGGTGAATAAAACTAATAAAGGTTTTCCAAATCCAATCCACAATCAAATCTTCTAGGATTTCTCCTAAGGTTGTTGGTTCACCATGATAATTATTGGTAATTCTTCACAGGTTTCTACAGTTTTTTATAGCAGGGTTCGGGTGTTTTTCATGAGTGATCACACTCCTTGCCCATGCAATGAATGTCCAACTCTCGCCATCCCCCTCTTTATTTACTCTTGCATTGGTCTATATATAGTGGTATCATTCCTTATCTATGTTACCTTACTTTATAGTTTCATAATTAAAAAAAATTATTTTCACCGAGTATATTGCTGTCTTTGTGCTTTTGACTCTCACGAATGAACTAGTTAAATTTGTGAGTTCATAACCTGAGGAAAAGCACTTCCGGAAAACAAGGATCACTGCAACAAATAATTGTTCATAAGGATTTACTTCAATTATTTTAACTCCGATAATAGATATTTTAAAACCTACACAAGATTAGATAATTTTTTAAGCAAATCATCGTCTTTATTGATTTCTTAAGAATAGGAATCTTGAAAGGTTAACATAGATAGAAGTAACGTCTAGGTTCCTTCATTTTATCATATTATAGTACTAGAAAGTATACTTGTTGCATGGTTACCATAGCTCGAGTAAAAAATCTATTAAATTATCAGAATATTCTTCATACATAAGCATTAAAATTTAATTTTCATTCATCCTACAATAATTTGTAGTATCCTATATGAGATAAGCATCTCAAAGAAAAATGCATAGCATAAATATTTGTAATTACATAATGTAATAGAACAATTGCAAGTTTATGTACTTCAATTTCCTGAACAAAACCTAAAATTGATACGATAGATTTAAACTAATGTACTCATTGAAAATACTTTAAAAGTGAATCTATTAACTATTCAATGGAAAGTTGATCCAGCCAACAACATTCTCACAATAATTTATATTAAGAAAATAAGAAAGATCATTAATAGGCTGCATATTTGGAATTACTGACCTCAAACTTCAATTTTGTCATCCAAGCAGTGTCAAAATTGGGCCTACAATCCTGAGGAAGGGCCTCTTTTGGGGCTTCTACAATTGAATGAAGAATTTGACCTGAAAAATAGTCCGTAAACTCTACCTGAAAGGTAACATGAAATTGAGATTGTCATGGAATGCTATATAAGGAGACATTATAAACAAAATATGATAAAACTTAGAAGTATTGTGTTTTACATTTATCATAACAAAAGACAAAATAAGTAAAAAAATACACATATTTATGCAGCATAAGAAGCTACTGTCAAATATGGACATGATAAGTAATTTCATACACTATATACAATGGAAGAGTGGATTTATCTTCCTTATCTGCATGTTTGGTCTCCTTTAAAAAAGAAAGAAAGGATTGGATCAATCAAGAAGGCTTCCATCCATATTCAAATGCAATGTGGATTAAAAAAAATGCAATGTAGATTAAATAATGCTTTGCCAACCTCCCTCACTCATTCAAATAGGCATGGCTAGTACAAAACTTTATCCTAGACTCCTCCCTCAATTCAAGAGTTGCAAGTAGCAAATAGCAAAGAGCTGTCATCAGATTCCATAGAGTACTTTCCACCACTCTAACCCATAAGGCTGGCAAAGTTAGTCCCTTCTTTTCAAGTTGAAACTGCATAATCTTCTATTATTTAGGAACTTTACTTGAATCCATATCTACAAGGGATAATTTGGATCTTGTATGTATATTTGCATGGACTTGTTGATGCATGAGATAGATTGTTTGATTGAATCAGTTTGGAGTTTTCTCCTTGTGACTGTGTGGCTTAGCGATTTTCCCAAGTTTAATTACTTAGGTAAGGAATTCTTCTCTTCATCCCCTCTCAAACAAAAATCCTAGATTCCTATGCAACCCCCTCTGCCTTCCACATTTGCCCTAAAGAGCCACCTCAATTGATCAGTCTGCCTACTCACTCAAAATCGTAAAACTTTTGCCTTGATTTTGACCTATTCCACAAACCTTAGTTCTTCCTTGCCTCATCCCATAGCCTCACCTCCTCTCCTACAGAACTCTAGGCCCTAATTCTACTTTTTAAGCTCTCAACAAACCGCTTAAACACCAAGCCCCACCTCTTACATCACTTCCCCAAATAAATCCCACACCATGCACTTCCTCTCGGCCCATCCACAAAATAGCTTTCAACTTCTACCGTAAAAGTCCACATCCACTCCATCCATCCACCAACCCTTCTCATAGAGAGTTTCATACACCTCAAAATTCCACCACATACCCACCAAAATTTGGCTTAAGAATATCTAGAGAAATAACAACATAGGTTACTCAACAATCCCAAAAGAATGGCAACAATTAGTGCGCTAATAAATCCGCATCAAGCTTCAAGTTTTTGTGATCTCCTATCAAAGGTTAAAATGGTACAAATTTGTTTCTTTATATTTCATTATTTGTTGTAAGCGTCATATAATCTTCTTTTCCAGCCATTCTAACTTTTTTTCTAGATCATCATATAAAGGCTTGATCCAAAATTCATCCCTAAATACGAGGCTTAAGAATAACTCTTCATGTTTCAAAAAGTGACTTCCTTTATTTCAACCCATATCGCCAGTAGCTCCACCCTCATTTTAAATTTTCTTTTTTTTCTGAAAAATTTATTCAAATCCCTATCTACAAGAGAAAATTTGGGATTTGTTGCATATTTATTAACACGTGTTAATTTTTTACACGTTTTATTTAAAAAAAAAAAAAAAAAAAAAAAAAAAAAAGATTACTTGCTTAATTTTTTTTTAGATTTTTTCCCTTGATTTTGGATAGTTTGTTGACTCCACCTTTCATTCAAAATAAAATAAAACATGGCATGGAAGTGATGGAAGAGGAAGGACTCAAGTTTACTATTTAAAAGGATGGTTGGAAGCTTACAAAACAGTAAGAGCTCATGGTGTTGTGGGAGAGGAAAGGAGGCTATTGGAGGAGACACTGGGATTAGAGTTTGTATAGTAGGTCAAAACCAAGAGAGAAGCTACTAGATGTTGATGTGAAAGGTAGAGGAAAGTGTAAAGCAATCTAGGGTCATAGTATAAGAGGGGACAAAAAAGAAAAATTTCTTACTATCTGCTCAAGCAATAACAAGACCACAAACATACATCAAGTCCTAAATTCTCTTGTATGCAAGGATTCAAATAATATTCTTAGAAATAACAAATTATAAAATTTAAATTTAAAAATAAGGGAAAGTTTGTCTACCAAATGAATCGGAATGGAGAAAAACTTGCCTTGAAATGTGGAGTGAGTTATTCTTAAGCCATGATTTGAGACAGTAGCCTCGGATCAAGCCTTGGATTGTGGAAAATTTCTTAAATGAATGAGAGAGAGGGCCAGCCTCACTTATTTGAATGAAGGTAGGTTGGTCAAGCATTATTGAAATCACATTGCACTTGAATTTGAATGGAAGCCATCTTGATTAATCATGCCCTCAAACTTGCCTTGTGAGGAAGGAGGTTAGCCACATAAAAAAGGAAAGGAATTCCACTATTCTATTGTAACAATTTGCATAAAATTAATCTCCATGTCCATGCTTGACAGTAGCTTCTTGTGCTGCATCGCACATGGGCTCCATTAGAATGAGAAAACAATTAATAGTCATCGAACGACATTTTCTTATTCACTGATTCACATTCATTTGTTCCAAATCATTATGTTTTGCGTAAAACCTGTGGAACTAATTTTGCACGTGCGTATCAAGATTAAAATCAATAACTATGAGTTTATATACTTATGTATGCATGTTTGTAAACAAAAAATGGCCACTACATGTCATTCAATGCATAATGTAGAAGAGTGATTGTATACATAATTAGTGGTTTGCTCTAAATGGGTCAAAATGCCCCTGTAGTTTGTACAACTTCAATATGCAGGATTCAGAAAAGTAGATAGTGCAAGCTCGACAAAATTTTTTAGTATTTATGCTTTGATCAACAAAATCATGAATTAATAAATAAAATATGTTCATTAAACTAGACTTTGAACAAAAAATTTTATTATTTATGCTTTGATCAACAAAATCATGAATTAATAAATAACATATGTTCATTAAACTAGACTTTGAACTAGATGCACGAGATTAAAAAGTCAATTCCATGGACAAATGCGTGAGGTAAATAAGTAAGGCTGAATGAAACATATAACTCAAAATTCACCTCAAATATAGAAGCCCAATAATAATCATCACGACATCTGAATGTTGTTTTCTCCTTAGGATGAAATGTATTTGTAACTTTATAATTTAGAAATCCGAGTTCACAAACCCTAGATGACTTAATATCTACACCTGCATGATATCCAACATCAAGTCAAGAGTAAACTCGAGATTTGAACATAGAAAAAACTTCAAGCAATTCCTTGAAGGTTTAACAACATTGGATCAGATAAAAACTAGTGAGTGGAGCGTACATTGCACTTGTACTTTAATGGCTATTGAAATCCTTCTAAATTGAACTAAGACTCATTACAATCAACGATTTTCATTTATCTGGTTGTCTGCAAGTCTAACTCTTCTGTGATTTATTCTGTGCTTAAACAATGAGATATTTGTTTATGACATCAAAACTGACAATCTTCTTCAAATCTAGCAATTCCATTGAAAAATTAAATTTCCTTAATCTTTTTATAAAGATCCAAAAGAAGCAAACAATAATAAAGCTCAGTTTTCCTTTGATTATATTTTAGATATGACTATATCTAATTTTCAAAAAAATAAAAAAGAAAACAAAACAAAACAACAACAAATTGTTTCTTTCTAATTACCTTAGAAATCAAAGTCAATAAAAATCAATAAGAACTTGGTGGTCAAAAGCTGGTCAGATTACCAAGAAAAAGAGTACAATATACATTCACACCATGCCTTAGCAACCAAATGGCTATGCACCTATATAAAAAAAGGAAACAGCGAGATCTTCCTACTTGTAAGATCTACCCCATAAGTGAGTTACTATTTTGCCAAAGTGTTTGATCATCAAACATAAAGATCTAACAGCAACTACAGTTTCATATAAGTGATCCTTAGCCAATTCTTGAATTTCAACGAGCATGGGACTAAGTATGTGTGAAATATCAGCTGATACAGACAAAACTTTTGTATGAAAGGAGGTAAGATAGAGAGTAATTACGCCTATGAATTGATGGATGCAGCAGTTAACAAGCAACTGTTTTGTTTGAAAGACACCTGTCTAATGAATTTCTCAACATCACCATGCATTACCCAAGCTTGACAAGGTCTCAAAAAGGCTCCTATATTCTTTTTGCAAGCATAAACACCAAACTGATAACTTCTTTCTTCTCAACATAATTTACTAAGAACTAATCCAAAAACAACCACCAATTCTCCAAACGGTTAATCAATTGGCACAAGAAGTAATCAATATCTTCACTTCTTGCTAAGAGATCCTCAACATTTAGCTGGGTCCCAAAATATTGCAGCAAACAATTTTTTTTTTAAATGATGAAATAGCAGCTCCCATGCAATTTTTGTTTTGAAAATAAGGATCTCAACTATCAGTAACAACCGGAACTCTACACATAATTGCCCAAAGGTTAGAAAGCTCTCAAAATCGTCAATTATGAAACCAAGCTAATGTTTAAGAAAGGCTAGGCCATCGGTTATCATAATAAATTAACCATGGCCCCAACCTTTAAAAATTTAATCACTCCAAGTTGTTTATCCAAAGACAAATAAAGCCGCTACGAACTATTTTCATATAACCCTCCATACAATTTCACTAAAAAAAAACTCAGCAAAGAGAGCTTACTGCCAGATACAATCCTACAAACGAGGAAACATCAGCAAGATTGAACTTCTAGAAGCTCCGCTAGCATCGCATGTTGTTAAAGCCCCTCAAAGCTTTGCAAGCTCACAAAATCTACAATTACAAACATAAATCCGTCATCAAGGATCCTAAAGTCTTTCGGTCTGCATATTCAACTAACCCGGAACTTCTCCACCCGTAAATCCCAACCAACACTAAAATCCCCAAAATCCTTTTGGGGCAAATATGAGGTGAAGCCAGTTACAAATCATCTTGATTTCGGTCATCACTTACAACTGTTTTCTATACAAAAGACTAAAAAATAGCCAAAAGTACTTTCCATCTAATTCGCCATAAAAATTTTCCATATACCAAAGAGCCCAAAATAAAAAGAGATGGGAGCTCACTACTAGAAACAATCCTACAAACCGCAGGAACCGCAACCGGATTTGACGCCGACAAACTCCCCACCACGATGGCCACGAACCCGAATACGAACGACAGCAAGAAAGAAACACCTAAAGAGACCACCGCGGTGCAACAGCAACGCGTCATGATCCGGATGGCCACCCTTTCCTTCACACCTTCTTCTCCTCCACCTCCTCCTCTATCTACCACAGAAGAATCTAAAGGAAGCATCCAGCCCAATCTCAGCTACTCTGTGCCCATCGATTTCGCCGGATCAGCTTCAAACGCCGGCGGAAGCTCCCTAACGGCCGACACTACGATTAACAACGCGATCGGAAAAGGGCGACTGGATCCTAGTGGGACTCGGGAAAGACCGGTGGAAAATACAGCGACCGGATGACATGGGCTTTTAGCTGACTGACACGAGTTTTAACATCGCCGCCGGTGTGACATGAAAAGCAAAGCTTCTAGTTGATGAAGGAACGGTCTAATATCTACCTAAATATCAAGAGTTACCCACTTAACACCAATATCTCTTTTTTTTTTAATGTTCTACCACCCAAAATGACCCAACAATATTAAAATTTTGCTCAAGTCTACCCCAATCGAGTGAGAGGTGGACTAGCGTGATGAATCATCCTCGGTTGAAGACTACCCATCTGTATTTGTATAAGTGACGAGCTCTATCAAAAGACAGATCACTATCGTATCAAGGTGTGGGAGGCTTTTCACCTTCAGTTGATTGCTCTTGAATGTGCAAAAATGAAATGGGCTGCCCCCCTCAGAGAGGGCCAAGACCTCAACTATGCTTGCTAAAAAAGGCGGAGAAGAAGGCGATGATAGCCAAACAAAAGCTGGAAGTAGTGATGATGAGATCGCTTCTCTGTCAAAACTTCCGTCAGTTGCCCAACAAGAATATCAAGAGCTGAAAAAAAAATGGTGACCATAAATACCAAAGAAGAAGAGTTTGTTAAGATGCTCCCCTCTCATCTGTAACAGATGAAGGATCTAAACCATCAGCTTCAGGTTGACAGTATCATTGCAATCGACCGGTTCATTCGGTCGGGTTATGGGGACCACAAATTTGTAAGCTTGGATGAAATTATTGTAATGTATACCAATTCTAAGGAATCTTTAAGAGATGGCTCGGGTGTTGGAGGTGATGAAGGGTCTTCTACTTTAAACTATGGTCGGCCTCTTGATACATAAAAAAATTCCTAGCAAAAGACTTTGTAAATAAACTCTTTTATATATAAACTTATACATTATTTGTACTTTTAAATAAATGTAGCTTTTTGGTCCATTTTAGTTTAGCTTCACTTCTTTCTTTATTTTACCTTACCTCAATGTTTGTTTGCAATAATTACTTGGTGATGATGTTGGTATTGGTTGATAACTTGGATCTTTAGAAATATCATTAGTCATTTTTTGATATTTCACAGTCAGACACAAGTCTTATGCCGCCTGTGTCACGTTTGCTCAGTCAGGTTATCAATGTGGTCGAGCAATACCTTTCTTCAAGACTTAAGCAGATCTTATCGTCACCCATGCTGGAGTAGCTGTCGAGACTAGTTAATAGAGCTTGTTGCTACTGAGCAGTGAACCACCTCTAGAGCTTTATTTGTGTCTAGTTTAGAGATGTGATTTTTTTGTGCTTGGCATTGAGGGTGAATTTTTAATATTCGGACATCGATCAGATGTCTATGACACCACTGTTGGTTGACATTATTGTTTTCTATTGGTCAGACATCTTTTGCATTACTATTTGTTTATGTTAAGATATCGGCTCCTAGCTTGCGTCTTATTCTTTTCCAGGTCTTGACTGCTTGGTCAGGTTTTCTTCATCAGGATTACCCCTTGTGCTAGGCTTACTAAGCAAATCTTATTACTTCTTTTATGGGGGTAACTATAGAAGCTTGCTTTTATGGTGATTTACTCAGTACCCTTCACAGTGATTTATGGGGGAAACCTCCTCTAGAGCCTTATCCAATTCAAGTTTGAAGACCGAGGTTCATGATGTTGGAGCATCGTGGGTTGTTATATCAATCAAACACCATAGACATTGCTATCAGCATTGCAATTTTGATTCAAGTTCCTCGAGTGTCAGTTGGACCTGAGAAAACATTAAAAAGGTTAAGGTGCTTTTTTACATAATAAAAAATATATAGAAGGTTTGAAATGATAATGCATTTTCATCGTTGGATTAGGTGTCAGCCATCCAGAGTTGATCGAGAGCTATCGAGGTGTCATTATTCTGCTTTTCTTAGGAGATTTCTCCGACCATTAGAGATGACCATTAATTTTGAGTGAGGTTCTTGGTATTGACCCAAAGCCTCTCAAAAGATAATAAAGACATGATTTTTTGGCTCCTAGATATATTGTCACACAAACTCCTTGTGTGCTCCCTAGTAGGAGTACCTTTTTGGTGGATCTCTCCTCATCGATGTCACTCCTCTTCTTATTGGTAGCATGCTCCATGCTCATTGTACCTCTTAGGACGTTGAATCTAGTTTCATCACTCCACGCTCACCTCCAATCAGTTGGCAGCCCATCAATAGGCTAGGCTGGCTATCAGTCAGTTCGGTGGCCTTTGATTTGTCAGATTCATGAGACCTTATAGTTTTTCATTAAGGGGATTCCTTGTCATATTTCTTTTGATCTTGATTTTTAGATTATCTCGAGGTTTGTGCAGACACATTTTTGGTGTACAGAACAACTAGCTCTCTGCTTCGTCCTTCTAGTATAGACCTGGGCATTGCGAGGGTTGGGCTTGGTGTGGGTCAGGCTTATTTGGGCTTTGACTAGTCAAAACGTGCTCAAGTTGAGCTTGAGCCCTGTTTTTATTTATAATTTCATAGTCAGACCCGCCTACCAAATAGGTCGGGTCGGCCCACGAACAGACTCTGGCCTTAAAAGAAAAAGTGATTTGTCATATGTTACATTCTATCGTTTTGATACTTTTGTGGGAATTTGGAAAACAGATGCAAGTAGGTGCCAGTTTTGCATATAGACAAATTTTTTAATGCTATCTTTGTAATTGTTCAAACTTTATGCTGGTTAGAAAATATGGAGAACTTCAATGTTGTGTGTAAATACATGAGCACTTATTCTTTCCAAAGATGATCCTAAAATTTTAAACATGTTAATTTAGACCCTGATATCATAAGAGGATTAGGGAATACTGCTTTTTTAGGAAAACTATGTGTTTTAATAAGTTACATCTATTTTTCAAAATTACACCAAAGTATCAAAAAAGTGATTTATAAAATTTAATCACCTCGAGAGCTTGCAATCACAAACTATACATTTGAGACTTGGCTATTAGGCGAGCCAGGCTTGGCATGAGTTGAGCCTATTTGAGCTTTGAGTAAGACAAACAGTCGCGGGTCCGGCCGAGCCTGCTAAAATTTTATTTTTTTTCCATAGTCAAGCCCACTCATTCTAAGCAATTTATGGTGAGACCGTAGACCGAGGTTGCTAATTTTTTATTTTTTTCATTGTCAAGCCCTCCCATTTTAAGCAAGCTTAATGCCCAGGTTTACTCTAATGCTAGCTATCTCACTACTTTATCATTTGAGTGGTTTCGCTGGTCACCTTATTGTCACTCATGTTCTTAAAACGTCATGTTAAGCTCTTGATCTCTCAAAAGGTATCTTCGTATGTAAAATTTGTGCATGTTACCATAGCTGTTGGAGATATGTTTGCCCTTGTTTAGTGAGTTATTTTGGCTTGGAATGAACGAGCGCTAAAGCAATTGGTTATGTTTACATTTTCTTAACTGTAGACCCGTTGATGTAGATATCATTTATCTTCATACTATAGGGCTTACCAATTTTTAATATCTCTGAATCATACTGCATAGAATTTTAACTTTCTGATTTTGAATGATCAGAAAAATAGATATTTAAATTAAATATAATGAAAATATTACGCTTGAATTTTTAATTTAAAATATTATTCAAAATATTAAAAAATAGCGTCGTCAATTAAAATATTATTCAATAATCCGATAAAAATGATATTAATACATCATTATTATATTATTTAGATTTAAAATAATTCAATTGTTTCTTATGTCATTCAATTCAACTCTCAATTTCAAATCTGATTGAATAATTGAACTTTAAACATTTACTCCTCCCGATTTAATACCTAATTCTATTCCAACAATCTTATTTGCAAACAAACAAATATTCACTCTAATGTGATATTATTAAATAATTATGCGAACAATAATAAACGCAATATTACTAAATTTTTAACAATTGCCGCCAGCTTTCAGGATCAACAAAGCTGGCGATTGTTAGAGATGAAAAGGAGGCAACCTATCGAATGGTAGAGATGGTGCACGAGGGTGTGGATATTTATGGTCACCAACTGTAACGAGTCTCCATTCTCATTAATAAATGAATTTTGGTTAATATATATTTTCCGATGTCTTTTTGGTATGTAAACGAGCCGAACACAAGCTGAGTCTGTTCGGCTCGTTTATATTTCGAGCTCAAAAAGTGTGTATTTGTTCGGCTCATTCGCTTAGAGAGCCAAACACTTGCTGTTCACGAAAAATTATTCATTTTGATGACCATAATCACATACTCATAACATGTTAAGGGTTGGGGCTAAACTTAAAAATTATTGTTTATATTAAAACATCATGTGAATCTAATTTAATAATTTTTATTCTATTTCCTTAATTAATACTTTTATGTGATTATAAAACTTTATAGCCTTATAATCAATTAATTTTTTTAAAAATACTACTTATCATATATATATATATATATATATAATTGACAGTAGTATTTCGAGGCAAAACTAACCGAACACGAACGAACAAATCTTTGTTCGTGTTCTGCTCATTAACTTAGCGAACGAGCTGAACACGAGCTTTTAACGAGCCGAACACGAGCTTTTCGCGACCAACGAGCCATGTTGACAAACCTAAGTTATAGAAAGTGTATGAAATTTTTTTTTAACTCCGTTAAATTTTCATTTCATAAGCTTACACAAAAATCTTGAGTTTCTATTTTAGAAATTTTCATTGCAATTATTCTGTTTTCTTACATTCAGAATAAATGAACAACACCATAATTTTAAAAACAAAGTTTTCATCTGCAAACCAAAGAGAGTCCGAACGCACGTACTCGTCTTGGCTGTCCGGCTAATTAATCAGATCTTGATTTCAAGTAAGGAAGGCAGATTACTTTATATTTGAAAATCCACTCTCTAGAAATATTAGTAAGCAGAACATCAATATTTAGGTCAACTATAGAAAGTGAATGTTTGATATCACTTGCTCGCAACAACCCATTTATATGCATCATTTATAAGGTTGAAAAAAAGTAAAAAAAAAAACTATGGATGCAATACTATTTTTTAAATTCTATTAATTTGAACTCCTATAGTAAGAAGAGCTCACCTCCGCGGTGAAAATATTAGGTGAGGCAAACATAGGCGCAAATCGGGCGGTATCTATGGTGTGATATCGTGGC